GTATTCTTGGAAATATCAGGTAGCACCAGTGAAGGTTCTGAAAGGTCTAAAGAAAGCCTGGTTCACAACCTAAGCTTAGTAATTAGTTGTATTATTATTATATAATATGATTACTTATTAGTTTCTAGAAAATTAAAGATCTAATTTGGTGTTGTCTGAGACTGAGCATGTATTTGCAGAACACGTATTGGTGTTTTTTTCTTAAAGTCTCAGTTGCCAGAAAAATACTCTAATCCAGTTAACTGCTAGCAAGCCTAAAACCAGTTCTTAGAAGAAGCATTTGTTAAAGCCAAGAAGGCTCCTCTTTTGAAGCTATAATGAGGTTCTAAATTGCTCTTTTCATCCTAGTAAGAAAAGCATAGGTTCTGAAAAAGAATGCATTCAAATTTGCAAAGAAAAATGCTATGAGGCCAAGTATTCCTTCCTTCTATCCTTCATCAGACACAGATGGAGCAACTTCTGCATACAAGACACAAACGTAATGAATATGACAAAGCTTATAGACATGAAGATGAGATAAGTAACAGATTAGGATAGAAAGTATTGTTAAAGACAAAAATGTATTGAGAGAGCTGGGTTGATGAGGGAGTGGTCAAGTAGGTTGGGCTAGCAAGACAAAAAGGAAAGTGTTTTGGACATTTATGACAGCAGATCATTTTGACAGCAGTACGACATCCATATGAAGCTGGACAAGTATGGTACATTCCTAGCAGTTCTGGAACCTGTAACAGCATTGTATGCAAGGAACTGATGTGGTCCTATCCTCTGTGATGAATTGGGGGACAACCAAGAAGCCCATCTTATTAGAAAGTTATATTCATGATCTAGGGAGGAAAATATGATGTGGAGTTTCTTAGTGGTGTCAGAGATTGCAGCATCTGCTTTAGACAAAGATGTCAAAGTTTAAATGCAAAAGACTATGTGGCACTCTGTGGTGCTCATGACAAAAGAAACAGAGGCATCAAAAGTGAATCCTGCTATTCTGCCTAGATCATTTTTATAGTCTCTGAATCATTTACCAAAATAAGAAAAAAAGCTGTGGTGTTTGGGGATCTGTGGGACATCAAAAAACTCTAATAGAGATGACCCTGTTACAGGGCTTTTTGTTTGTTAGTCTGTGGTACTTAGTAAGGGCATTATTGCTCTGTTTTAAGGTGACTCCAGTTTTTTTTTTTGTTTTTGTTTTTTTGGGGGAGGGGTTGGTGTGTGTGTATATGTGTGTGTGTGTTTTCAAAGTTTAGAAAGTAATAGTTTTTCATGTGAATTTTCCAGAAAGTCTTATGTTTTATACTAGTTATTTCTCCTCACATTCCCTCTACTCTGTCTTCCTACCCATCCCCCAACCAAACCAACTATCTTACCTCTTCCTCCAAAACCTCAGTGATCATTGAAGAAGTGGGAGCACAAAGAGCCTGTGAATGACAAGGAAGCAGCCTTTTCCAGACACTAAAGGACATCTACATCTATGAACTTCAGCAGCTGGGACAACACAAACCAGACCTGTAAAAGGTCAAGTCAGACAAATTCCCAGCATGAATTGGGGAAACGGGCACAGAGTCCCACACCCACCCAAGGAGATATTAGTGACTCTCAACTGTTGGAAGAGGGAATGTATTTTTCTTAAATGGTGTGGTGTCTGCTAGCTCCAAAGCGCTCCATTAGATAGCAACACACTGAAGAATGTATAGGCAGCATAAATTGGACTCCATGGGTTTAAAAGAAAATAGGACAAAAGTGGGATGGGAATTGAATAGGGATTAGATGTGGGAGGGGTTGGGATAGGAGTTATTATAATTAACAGTATGAAACTCTCAAAGAATTAACAAAAATGTTTTTTAAGTAAACATCAAAGTCAAACCCACAAGAAAGAAAGAAAAAGATAAAAGAAAAAAGCAAGCTATGAACAGTTGAGATAACTGAGGAGGTAAAGATGCTGGCCAACAGGTCTAACTACCTAAATTCAATCCTCGAGACACCCATGATAGGAGGATAAAAAATGATTATTTGGCCTCAGATATCTTTTCATGTGCTATAGCATGCACATGCCCACATGCCCACACACAAGACACACAATGTACAAATGTATACATAGATTTATACATACATACATACTTATCTGTTTTACTAGGTTGACCACACTCTACTAGATGGCTCTACACCTATGAGTATACAAGCAGCACAAATTGGACTCAATACACACACACACACACACACACACATTTAGGAGGGTAAGGAGGATGAACCTGGGAGGAATGGGGAGTGAATACAACCAAAATTTAGGCATGTAACATATTCTCACAGAACTAATAAAACATATATCTAAAAATTAAAAATATTTTTAAAGTTATGTAACATTTTTATTTTTTGTTTATTCATTTTACTGTTCTTTTTGTTGTTCTGCATTGTCCTGTTAGTATAGCCAAGAGAGACAACTACTTAAAATCACTTGGGGGCATCCATAGAAGATTTAAGTCCCAGTTTGTTTCAGATTCCATGGAAGTGACACGTGAATGCGGTATCTATGATCCTGCTCTTCACTGTCACACTTGGGAATACAAAACTCTGGATTAAATAAACTTTGAAGTGTTTTCTAAACTTACGACATCCTTTATATTCTGAAACTTGCTGGCACAGTATCGATGGCGTCAATATTATTAGGAATATTAGGAAACTGAGTTAAATCCTGTCTCCTCCATATTCATGACAACCCAGGACCTGTCCATGTCACCTAATTTGGAAGTTAGATGTTTGCAGATGTAATCAAATTAAGACAGGACTAGAGTGAGCTCTAAATCCCACAGGAACACTGCCCTTATATAAAAACGGACCAAGGAACAGGCACAGAGAGGAGGGCCACATGAGATGAAGCTAGAGATAGAATTATGTGCTCAGGGGTAAAGAATGCCTGAGACTATAGGATCCTGAGTTGGGGAGGAGGAACCCTCTCTTAAAAACACCAGAAGACCATTCTGCTAACACCATAGTGTTAGAACCAAAATGCCCAGATCTGTAATACAATAAATTTCTACTGCTTTAAGCTACCAAGTTTGGGGTGAATGGTTATGTCAATGCTAAGAAATAAAAACAATTTGAAACATTTAAGTGAAAGCATGTGTTTTAATCTGGCTTGTATAGCACATATAGTATGGGTTCCAAGCACATACATTTCCTTTTCAAAAAGGATTGCCCTAATATCTAGGTGCTTCATATTATTAGTAATGCCCGCACTTAAAAATATACATGAGCTTTGCTATTCACAAGCCCAAATTGCTGATGAAGAAATTAAATAGCTCACACAAAATCACAAAGCTAAACACAGAAGAACCAGACTACAAATTTAGCTTTATCTCATCACCAAGATGACACTGTATCCCACAAAACCTGCCTCTCATACTTGTCCATGGTAGCACACTCTGAGGGTGTAGGAGAGGCATTGATAACTTGGGTTTCCAATGCCTCCAATCAAAACTTTCATTTATTAGTTAAATGAGAACCTGCAACAATCTTTGTCCACAGAGAACAGTTTATTCTAATACAAGTATTCTCCATGAACTTGCCATCAACTTCCACTGCTTTCATTAAAAGTTCTGCTTTGCATGCGTGTATTCAAAGTCAAGGTGTAATCAGGTTGAACATTTGCAGCGTTAATTTACTTGTATGCACTTCCTTCTGCAGTCCTGTTTCATTATCATGATACTGATTCATTCTTGCTACTTGGAGATCATAAGAATAATGAAAGTGCAGAGGAAAGTATCTAAACTTTATATCCACTGACAGATGCACAGCCTTAAATGATAAAGGAGGATATAAAAGCATGTTTTAAATTTCCCTTCCCTCCCTCCCTCCCACTGGGCCATGCTGCTTATCATATCAGATACAAATGTAAGGTGTTGCAGCTGCAGCTGTAGAATGTCAACATCAAGAAGGCTGATGCAGGAGGGGCTTCTACAAGGAGTACCTTGTCCATCTGAACTCAAGTTAACGAAGTTGCCACATGGCATCAATTCCCACAAGAGGATCACTTGTGTTTTGTGAACTACCCAGGACCCTGCAACCAGGTGTCCCCATTTTTCCCAAGGTATATTCAGTTTTCCAAGCTGTTATCAACTATTGACATTGCTACTTTCTTCTAGCTTCTCTTTTTCTTTATTTAAAAGATCACCTCAAATAGCCTTGTATAAGACTAGGGTTCCCTTAACTGAGATGTGAACGCTTGCAAATTAACTTCTACCCTATCCCAATGGAAAGCTACAGATACACACGGTTTCAAAAAGGATGCTCACACTTGGGCTCCAAACTGGACACCGACAGTCCCGAGACTTTTCAAGTTCATTCTCTAGGAGATTGGCATTGCACACAATTTTAACCAGTTTGGAAGTGGGGCTCTCTACCACATTCTGCCCACCGGTGCCCACCTGCAGAAGTTCTTTCCATTGCTACACACCAAGCAAACAGACAGAGACAAATAACAAAGGAAAACACAGTCCCATAAAGGTTCCGCTATTGCATCTTGTGGTCCACACCTGCTAAAAGACAAAAACCATATGGGAACCCTGCCCTGGCAATGCATCCAGCACTCCCTGGGAGCAGCAGGCACTGTGGTACCATCAGCAGGGCGTGCGCGAATACATACACAAAGAACTGATGCTGGGCTTGCTAGCCTTTCGGGGTACCAGCAGACTCCTAGAGCTGGCATCCAGGATGATCTTCTCCGCCCTCCACCCCAGCATAAAAGCACTATCCTTTATTTGACCGGTGAAGCGCCCAGGCTGGATGATATTGCATGTGTTGGGGGTTGGGGAGTGGGCGGACCCCCGATCCCTTGCCCATCCTAGGGGGTCCCTAGCCTTTGGCATCTCCTAGGAGATGCACAATCAATTGTGCTGTCATAGAGGTCTCCTTTCGCAGCCTCTCTAGGCAAAGCCAGATGCCCGGCGTAGCAGCCGTGCGCATCTTGGCAAGCGCCCATGCAAGCCGACCTGCCCCGTGCGCCTGCCTACCTGGTGGCTGGTTGTCAGTAGCGAAGACGCGGTGCCTCATCTGCTTCTCCGATGCTGCTACATCTGCTATATCGCTCCGAGCGCCATGTTCCTGCTCTCCACGGGCGCACGCTGGGGAACTACTACGGCTGGGTAGGGGCAAGGGGGGCGGGGGCTAGCGGAGGGGTGGGGGCAGAGCCAAAGCTTTCTACTCTCCTCCCAAACCTCTCCCAGCAACTGAGCATGCCCAAGCCGCCTGGTTTCGCCCCTAGAAGGACTGTCCGCTGAGACTACTCTGCTGCTCCGGGTTTTCGGGGCAGCCGGCTGTAGGAAAGCTGAAGCAATTGAGGGGGGTGTAAAAGAGGAGTGTGGAGGGAGTGTCTGCACGCCGGAGCTGGAGAAAGCAGCCAATCGGATCACACTTTCCTTATACCATCCCCCTGCGGGCTGCTCCCGCACGTCCCTTCCCCGCACATCTCAGTTAGTCCAAATTTTGTGTAGGACTTTCGCAGAGCAGTGCTACATCTGGACGCTACCTAGGAGACTCTTTGCCGTTACCTGGTCTTGTGCTTCGCAAACTTTAATGAACCTATGAATTAAAATGCAGATTCGGATTTAACTGGCTGGCCCTGAGATTCAGCAAGAGAAATAACTTCTCAGGAAATATTTGGTGACCCGCAGCTGGCCCTCTGAAAGGTCAGGAGGTGTAAGAATTCAGTAACATCTTCTGTAACCTCTGTTTAGTCGTGTCCTTTAATCAATAATGGTCTCTTGAGCCAAAGGAGTTATCTTCTGCTCTGAATGGCGGAAACAATTCAAGTGAAGGTGTCCCTGGGGATGTTGTGCTTTTCCTGGAAGGAAGCTCTGTAGGGCAGACACTGTAGATAAGGTGATTACTGTGATTAAGAATTTGGCGCATAGGAGAAGATGGACTCTTGGGTCCATTAACAATCGCTTTGATACTCTCAGCTAGGAGACTCCAGGTCAGTTGACCTGTTGACCTGTTGTGTCATTAACAGCCTGAACCAGTCTCTTGACTGTCTGCCTTCCTTCCTTCCCTGACCTGGACAAAACCTGGGTGGCTCGATGTAATGTCAAGGCACGGCTTGTTAAGGAGACCAATTGGTTATGTGCACAGAACCCTTTGGGAGCAAAAGACCACAAGCCGTTTTGATGAATGATGTTTGCGGTAAAGCTTGGAAGGATACCTTGGAGTCCAGATGCAACCCCACCCCTACTGCCTGTCTCATCCCCCCCCCCCCCCAAGCCTTTGAAAGGATTGATATTATCTCCACGTGAAACCAAAAGAGATTCACAGAACCAACCTTGGTCTTGAAACTGAGGGAGTCACCCTTCTCCTTTCTCAGCTATCCCCAAGTTATGATATCTGATCCTATAACTGAATAGCAGATTATAAAACAGGAACTTTTGTCTCTTAGTACACTGTTTTATTCAATAATTTGAGACAGTGTAGACACCCCATGACTTTTCTGTTCACACGGGATTCTCATTGCAGTAACTTCCATGCCAAAACAGAATCATGCTAGGAGTTTGTGCTAAAGAAATGACACAACCAACCATTAAGAACATATGTAACTCTTCCAGAGGTCCCCGGTTCAGTTACCAGCATTGAAATAGGGTGGGTACCAGGTGATTCCACTCCCACACCCTCTTCTGGCTTCATTGATGCCTTCACTCATGTGGTGCACATACAGGCACAAATACACACACATGAATAAAAATAAATCTTTAAAAAACAGAACCATGGAGCAGATGGATGATCACTTTTCTTCATTGATACTCCTAAAGAAAATATATATCAGCCTATCAAATTCTATTTTTTCCATTCATATGACTAAAATCAATAAATTCATCAATGCTTGAAGTTGCTCAAATGGTCCTAACTCTCCATTCATCAACCACATTGCTGCCCATGGAGTCCGTGGCATCGTACTTTCTATGTACTTTCTCATATGTGAACTTGTGTGGATGCCAAAGTCAGGGAACATTTTATTGAGATGTAGTTTGCTTGTGTTTTTGGTACCATTAAAAAGCAAACACACTGCCAAAATAAACTGCATAATCTCTATGATAGCATAATCTTATATTATTTTAATAATGCAATCCTAAATAGCCCTGGAACGTCTCTAAAAAATAATCATAAATGAAAAACTGTTCTGAAGGAAGTTACCAAACTTAGACAGTGTTACCAGAGAAATGCACCAATAACTGGAAAAAGAATTAGTCTGACACAATTTTTCCCAAAAAGCAAAAGGAGAGTTGATGTCTCAACTCATTTTTATGAGGTTATAATTGCCTGATACCAAACCAAGGAAACTTAGTGAGAGAGATGCCTATAAACAATATATCTTATAAACCTGCAGGCAAAGTCTCCTAAAAGATGTGCGGAAGGGCTGAATGTGGTCTTACAGGCCTCTGATTCCAGCTGCTTATGAGGCTGAGGCAAGAGAATCATGAATTCAAGAGCTATCTGGGCTGCTGAGTGTCTTTGTGGATACTGCCCCCCAAAAAGTAAAGTGGGGACTGGAGAAGCTCTTGTCTAGCACACATAATACCCAAGATTTCATCCCCAGATCCAAAAAATAAAAATATTAGCCTGAATCTTCCAATGCAGAAAGAGAATTATACATTATTTGTACATGAATATGTACCAGAAGTTCAGGGCTGCCTAAATATATAAATATATACCAATATTATCAATCATACTAACAAACTCAAAAATCTTATCAGCTTATACAAAAATGATATGTGTCAATGAATAAAAAATTTGAGTACATTAGGAATACAGGGGAAATGTCTCGTTAATAAAAGCATCTACTAAAATACTCCAGCAAGCTTCCAACTTAATGATGAAAGTAAAAATATTTTACTCCTAATATATATCTTTCTATATAAACCATGAGCATTCAGAAAATTAATTTTGAAACGTGATAACAAAGGAAACAAAGTATTAAGACCTAGATTTAATAAAATTGTATAGGACTTGAATCCTTAAGTTGTAACATACAAATGAAATAAAAAAATAGACATTGTATTCATGTATTAGAAGGCTCAGTATACCCCAAATACACATTTTAATCAGTAAATGGAGTTACATTTTCAGTGACATTTCTATGTGTATTCACATTTAGTTTTGATGACACAGGCAAGTTTATTTTCAAATGTATTTTGAAATGTACAGAAATGTTTAGAATATCTAAACAGTATTGAAATTTGCAGTTGTCTTAGTGAAGAAATCAGCTAGATATTTAGATATCAGAATAGAAAACCCAGAAATAGGGTCAGGCAAACATGAGCAACTTACCCCTAACAGATGAAAGAAGCTATTCAGTGAGAAGGAACAGTGCTGCACCAACTGGATGTACATGGACAAAGAAAAGCTTGAATCTCCTACAACAAGGGCATGCTCAGCCAAAATGCTGAACATTTTCCTCTAAAATCAGAACAGAAACAAAAATGCTAATTTTACTACTTCAATTCCACATGATACACAAATTCGAGGTGGATGATCACGTAGGAGGATTAGCATATCCAAAATTGAAAGAAAGTAAACTTATCTCTGTTTTCAGAAAAATATCTTATATATAGAAACCACTGAAGGGTGTGCACACACACAAACCTTAAAATTAATAAAATTTCTAAAATGCACAGTATATAAAAGCAACCCACAAAAGTTGATTTCTGTATGCTTAGAGCAACCTAAAAGGAAAATTAAAAAAAAAAACATCAGCATCCTAATAGCATTAAGAAACATAAGGCACATAGGAATTAACTTAAGTCTAGAGTCATCAAGAAATATAAAGATACTGGGTAGTGGTGATGCATGCCTTTAATCCCAGCACTTAGGCAACAGAGGAAGATGTTTCTCTGTGAGTTTGAGTCCAGCCTGCTCTACAGAGTTCCAGGACAGCCAAGGCGACACAGAGAAACCCTGTCTTGTAAAACAATAAAATAAAATAAAATAAAATAAAATAAAATAAGGATATACAAAGATATCTTTTGTACATGGATCAGTAGACAATGTTAGGACTACCAGTCCTTTGCAAATCATAAGAAAAATCTCATAAGGAAAATCTTTTAAAACTATGCTTTTGAAGGAATAGAAAACTTATCCCAAATTTTGTACAGACTTTGAGGGGATCCTGAATAACAGAAACAATCTAGAAAAATAAAAATAAAAACAAAGTTTGAAAACTTTTTTCTAACTCCAAGACTTACAAAATTCCAGCAATCAAAATGATTTATAAAGTCATAAAACCAGTATCTAGACAAATGGAATAGAGTCCAGATAAACTCTTATGCAAGTGCCAAATGTTGGTCAACAAATGTATCAAGACTATTGATGGAGAAAGAGCAACCTTCTCAACAGATCGTGCTGGGAAAACTGATCACCGACATGCAAAACAATGGAGTAGGACCCAATAGCAAATACATAGAAATGAATTTAAAGACACACATGAGCAAAACCTAGAAATCATTAAAGAAAACATGATAAAATCTTCATGAAATTGGACTTAGCAATGATTTATTGAATATGACACCCCCCCAAAAAAAACAACAGCAGCAAAAGAAAATTTAACTAAATTAGAATATGTTGAAATGAATATTCTCTATGCAAAGAGGACAAGCAATGGTGAAAAGACAATTCACAGACCAGGGAGAAACTACACACAAATCATATATCCAAAAAGATATTCATATCCAGACTACATAAAGCCTGTAAAAGTCGGCAACATAAAAACAACTTATCCAAAAAATGGACAGAAAATTTTATTTTTCCGCAGAAGATATACAGATATCAAAAAGCCTTTAGAATGACAGTCAAGGTCACTAACCAAAACTTCAAAACTAATGTAATATAACTAAAATTCATTACCCTGTTTATTTAAACAGAACAAAAACTAAGAATAATTGGCAAGAATGTAAAGAAATCAGAAGACCCATCTATACCAGTGGAAATATAAAGTTGTATCATTTTAATGGAAAACAGCGGAACACTTCCTTAACACTTAAACTCAAGGATCTAGCAATTTTATTTTGTGTGATGTATTCATGACATTGAAGGTAGAGATATAAATATGTGCATTTTAGTGTTCATAGCAGCAGGAGCAAAAAGTGGAAACTACCTGAGTGTCCACGAAGAGATGAATCAATTCACAAAATGTGCTATCTACGGACATAGGAGCAGTCTTCCGGCCTAAACAAATATGAGATCCTGATGATAAAAGTGACAGCAATGATTAACCATGAAAGCATTCTACTAAACAAAGAAAGAAAAAAATACAATATCATAAATAT